CTGATTGGACAGGTAATGCCTGTAGTGTTTTGAAATCGGACACAAAAGTGCAACATAATGACTATGAGTCAGCATTTAAATGGCCGCTTATCGGTCACTTTTGATTAAAGCGAGAGGGTTGTCACCTGCACACACTCATGGGTGGACGCTTGTTTGTAAACATTGACACGCTATGGCCATCTGACGCATGCGCAGGTGACAACTCCCCCGCTTTAACAATAGTTCACTATCTGACCAGACAAACTCACCAATGAAATCTAGTGGTTGCTTAGTATGCTTCACATACAGATTATTGATCTGGTTTTTCATCTTCAATATTTCTTCTGCCTGAATTTGAATATCTGTGGCTTGACCCTGAAATTACAAATGTATGTCAATGACAGTTAGTTTTGATCCATTAAAGGCAGGTGTTGGTGGGTTACTCTAGTATCTGCACAACTGGTGAACTCACAAGCCAGCAGCTTGCCAAGCCCTTCGCCACTCATTCTTCATTTGTCAAAGGCTGAATTTAAGAGTGGCTATAAAAAATAAATTTGAAAAAATGCTTTATGCCAATATGGTAGCCGAAATTTTATGACAAAACAATGACTTGATGATTTGTTTTCAACTTGGAGGTATCCCTGATTAATTAAAATATATGTACCGGTATATACTGTAAAATGACTAATTTTCACTGGGTTTAAATTTCACTGATTTACCATTTCAGGCATATTCAGTGGGTTTTAAATTCACGGTTTCGTCATTTAGATAATGTGTTCTATGCTTAATTTTACATATTCACTGGGTTTTAATTTAGCACATTTTCCAGTCAGCGAAATAAGCAAAATTAAAACCCAGTGAATAATTACGGTAATCCTTTTACAGTACCGGTATATATATATATATAGCACACACAATTCTTGATGATTTAAAACATGATTTTGTGTCCCTTGATCTTCAAATTGAGTTTAGAACAGTTTCAAGCTGTAATAGTAGTTGAAATATTCCCTGTTACTCTGTTAGGATGAAGCTGCTCGATGTATACCTATGATGCCACGATTGCTTAGTGTGTGCGCGTAAGAACTTACATGTGCTTGGCCTGATGGTTGATGTACCATGATTCTAGAGTTAGGTAAGCTGTATCTCATTCCTGGGAACCCCGCACATAGTAATAATGATGCCATGCTGCAGGCCTGACCCACGCACCATGTAGATATCGGTGGTAACACGTACTGCATTGTGTCGTAAATACCGAGACCGGCCGTCACTGAACCACCTACAAATGCAACAAAATACTTGACATGCCAAATATGTATTGTAAAATACTTTATTTTAGCTGCAATTAATTTTTGCTAAAAAAACATTTTGGGTGTTTTGTATGGAATTTATTTTCACTGATTTTTGACGAGTTGAATATGAGACATAGGAAAAAATGTATATTCGCTGGATTTTATTTTCACTGAAGCATCCCTTCAGCGAAAATAAAATTCAAGTGAGAATAAAGTATTCTACATTATATTATGAGCTTATGAAAAACATTCGCGCAACAACTGTAAGTACCGTACTTGCCTTTCAAATAATACAAGTGCATATAAACCAAATATTGCATGTCTTGTATACTAAATCATTATTAATATGGCCTAAATATTTTCCCCAATAGAACACCTATAATGTACACATGGGACATTCAAATTTATAAATGTTGACTATTACTGTAAAATCTGTATTAGAAGCTGCATCCCTAATAAAAGCCATACCCATGAAACAGGCAATGTTGCAAAGACGTCATAGACTCAACACTATTTGAAAGAGGTAAAACAAGTCATGTGACAACATCTCTCAAAAAAAATCTCAGTGGCCAATTTGATCTAGGACAAATTATCGCAAATTTCACAAAAATATTTCTCGAGGGTCATATGCCATTGAGTGTCAGTGACTTTCGCGAAATTTATCTTCAATAAAGCCAAAAATCATCAAATTGCGAACAAATTTTAGTAGCAAAAAATAAGCGGTTTACAGTATTAATCATCATGGTTAAAACTATTTCAATGTTACATCAAATTATCAGTAAAAGCAATGCTACTTTTCTGAAACCAGATTCTGCTGGAAGGAAGTTGATACTGAATACAAGTAAGGAGCTTACCTGGACTGTTTATATACATATGTATTGGTTTTTTATTGCTTTCTGATTGAAGAAATAGTAGCTGAGCAACAACCAAACTTGACAAGTCATCTGTAATCTGGATGAAAATGATAACATTTGGTGATAATATTTCAATTTCTCACAATAAAATTCTGATTTCTCATAATACAACTCAGATTTCCTGAACAATTTATCTTGATGAAACTCAGAAGTATAATTGATTTCTCACACAATACATCTCAGAGTTCTCAGAGAACAGAACTCAGATTTCTAAATATACAATTCTTATTCCTCACAATAAAAATAATTTCTTACACAATACAAGTCAGATTTCTCACGCAATACAGGAAGGAGTGTACATTATACATCCAGCCACAACATCAATGTTTCAGTAACTTCTGATCAGAAGACAGTTGGCAAAGTGCAAAAAGCTGTTACAGTAGTGTGTTCATTATGGAGTCTAGTCTTGAAATAAGACTGAGATGCACATATTTGTAATATGGAATGCACTAGTACATACAACAAATTGCAACTTTCTGGTAAAATACCATTTCAAAAATAAGTTTTACTCACAGGTCCCATAAGGCATATTATTCTTTCTTTTAATAGTCTTGAGTAAATATCATACGCCCGTTCACCTCGTCCCTTAAAATAAAGTATATTTAATTGAAAACAAAAAACAATTTTCTCCATTCGCATCGTATGTACATACAAAAACACATGTAGTTACTAATATTACACATTTGTTACAGCGTGCCAAGATTTTGCGGTATTGCACTGGGTATTTCATCCCTACCATATTAGGAAACGCAAATTCCAAATATGGAATGATTACCTGCATAAGTGTCGTCTAATAATTAAAAAACAAACGTGGCTGCCCAGGGATTGACCGGACCCGACACAAAAAAATTCACCAAATCTGTTCTAAACGTTTTGAAATATTACGTCTTTTTGATTTCCACAACATTTTTTTACAATGAAGAAACAAACATGTTCATAAAAATACACACATTTTATCACAATACGAGGATGTGGTCAATTTAATTGCCAACAAATTGTGTGCCGGATTATACCATTTAGGTGTGGGGGAGGCGGCTGTGGGATAGTTAGCATGATGTGGTTGATTAACAGGTCCATAAGTAACATGCTGACATACTGTCTGAATTTACAGTGCAAAAATGGGTAAGGTCTGTAGGACAACAGTCGAAGGCAAGATCTTTATCATTATCTTCGTTGTGGAATGTTTTCATGTACGCAAACTCTCATACGAAGCAATTTCCGCCACAGTGTTTTGCATCATGACTTGACCTGAACAACTTCTTTTGACTTAACAGGTCACATCTTTCGTTAACCAATCAAAATGGTGTGACGTACAGACGAAGTTTCACGATTATTGAAGAAGTTATTTTTTTCAACGCAATGCGGAAGTGAATTACCGCGATGTTAAAATGCGATCTGATTTCGACAGAAAAGATGATTTTTTTCCCTAAGCTGTTGATTTGCAATTTTCAAAAGGTAAACTGAGAGTGGAGGAAGTATTTAAACTTTTCACGGTCGCCAGTCATGTTTAAGAATAGTTTGCTCGATCACATCCCATTCACGAAAGTCTCAATGGACACGATTATTCAAAAAAGTAAAACGATGTTCAATGACCAGACGATCATATTTTTGGCATTTCCAAAACTACTACTCAAAAGAAATATGAATTACTTGAGTACTGCAAATAGGGGTTAACATAGGGATTCATCCTGAGTAAATAACAGAATAGAAAACGTGCGAACAATGTTCCGTACGTTCGCCGGCCTAAAATTAATGCGAGTTTTCTCGTAAAAGCAGGAACCAAACTACCGTACCACTCGCGGTTATTATGCAATGAAATACACTCTTTACATGCATGTTTTAATAAATGTCGTCAATGCCCGGTAAAAACACTATGGGCCTATACTCGGGGATGCCCTCAACTTGTTAAATGTCTAAAAACAGAGGGGTGGGCTTATACTCGGGGGAAGTACGGTATTACAAGGATACTGCAAAGTATGCACTCAGATAGTATGTGGGCACATCAACCTCCGCTGTGTGTCGGTCAATACTCCTGCTGTACTGTCTCAGTGCATACTCGCATACTCTGCAGTATCTTCGTAGTAATCTCATAGTATCTTATTTAACATGAGAATACCACAAGCTAAGGTATGCATGAAGGAAGTACAGTAATTGCATCGACCAATGTGTAGCATAAGTTGAAATAAAACTGTACTGCCTGGGCAAGATGATTTTAATCGTCATTTGAAATTAATAAAATGTTCATGTTTATTTCACAGCTTTGTGTAATGTAGGGTAC